TGGAGGGATGATTGTAGCTATGTTCCCCATCCAGATCCAAGCCAAGTAAATATGTTGCAGATACCATTGAGATTAACTGTAAAGAGCTACTACTTCTCTCTTAGGTGGGAGAGTGATTTTTTTTGCTTTCCGTGTTTGGGAATCCAGCTGAAGCAGTCACACAGACTTTGTCTTGTCTGGCCAGTAGGCAATTGTTCATCACCACTAACACTAGAAAGTTTATTCTTAGTTGTAGTGACCTCTTCGGGGTCATTGGTCAGGATCCAAATCTTTGTCTAAAAGTTGGGATTATAATGTGAGGAATCTTAAGTACCAGAAAGGATTTGTAGGAGGGATGCTACTTTCTAATGTGTACAAAGGAACAGTTATTAGGTTTTTATCAGCACAGTCAGGCTGAAGATGACCAATCCAGCAATAAATTTCAGAGCCATATCTATGGTCTAGGAAAAGTATACAGGGAGTTCTTGTTTTCCTTAAGCAATATGGGGACTGCGGAGTATCAGCAATAATATAAGGCTGAGGGGACTCATGCTTGTGCGGAAAATTAAGCTTGTTTAGTCATCTTGGGTGGGGGCCATCCACTTCTAAAATTTTCAGGCCTCAGTTGAAGGACACCCAGTAGAATAGAATCCAGTAGTTAAGTTGAGGGCAGTGGTGATAGTCTGATATGACAGTCCAGCCCAAGTGTTCAGCAGATGAGAGCCAAGAGAATTTAATAGACCTCCCACCAATCCTGGCCTCCTAGATTCTAAGGTGTTTCTTCCCCAGCAGCTGGGGTTTTACCTGTATGACCATGTGATCAGTATAACCAATCCCTGAAGCAACTACCTCCTCTTTTTGTCCCATCCTTAATAATTTTCAACCCACACTGTTCAACCAGATATACCATGTAATCATTCAGTGGTTTCTTCCTTGTACATTTTGTACCATCCTAGAACATATCGTTTCCCTGTTATGTAGGTCACACTAGGACCCACCTTATGTATTGTTATCTCATGTCTGTGAACATTACCATCAATATTCAGAGCTTCTTAGATGCAGCAAGTATAACCAGGTGGTAAGAGAGGTACCACATTGGAATCTCCCACCGTCAGCTCTTCTTTACCACCCATAAGTTCCTACAGTCCAGTTTCTCAGAGGTAGATAAGAGGAAACTAAGAGTGAGAAGGGTTATTTATGTGTTTTGGGTCTCATACAGCTAGTGTACCTCTTCTTTCACCATATCCCAACCTCATAATTTATCCAGCAGGGAGGCACCCATTTGGAAAATTGCCACAGTGAGAGCACATACTTTCTGTTTAAGTGTGTGCTTCACTGGGAGTATTAGCTGTCTACTTAGCTTTTTAGGTTCTCCTTTAATAGTACATTTTATATTTTTAATGGTAACTGCTTCCTGGGTGTGATATGAAGTATATGTCCAGTGAATGCTGCAGAGATTTGCCTACTGCTAAGTATTCTTGGCAACAGAGATGGCACTATTCTATGACATGATGTGTTTGGGAACTAAAGGGTGTAATATAGTCTACTCAGGAACTCTTGAATAGTATGGCCTGCATCTGCTGTGTGAATGAGAATTGCTGTGCCATACCTGAATAATCAATGCCCGAAGGTATCCTCAAAAGGAAGGTAGAGGGTCTGGATAGTCTGTCTGCCAGGACCTGCCAGGTCTGGTGCCCCAGGCTGTGTGCCCTGGAGTTCCTTTGCCATTTGTATTAGTTTCCTTGGGCTTCCATAACAAAGTACCACAAATTAAGTGGCTTACACACAGAAATTTATTCTCTCTTCTGGAGGCTAGAAACCCAAAATCAAGGTGTTGGTGTAGCCTTGCACTCTCTGAAGCCTCTAGGGAAGACTCCTCCCTTGCCTCTTCCAAGCTTCTGGTAGTTGCTGACAGTCATTAGCATTCCTTGGCTTGTAGATGCATCACTCCTGTCTCTATCTCCATGATCACATGGTGTGTGTCTAAATTTCCTTCTTATAAGGACACCAGTCATTGGATTAGGGCCCACTGTAGTCCAGTATGACCTCCTCTTAACTTGATTACATCTGCAAAGACCCTGTTTCCAAATCAGTTCACATTCACAGGTACCATGTGTTAGCTCTTAAACATATCTTTTTGGAGGAACACAATTCAACCCATAACAGTCTGCCCTCTGACCCCTCAAAATTCATGTCCTTCCTATGCAAAATACATTCACCAAGTCCCAACATACCCCTCAATTCTTAATTTATTCCAGCCTTAACTCTAAGTCCAAAATCTCATCTAAATATAATAATTTAAAAAGTCCCCAATCCCAAATTCTAAATCATCTAAATCAGAAATCAGTGAGATTCTAGGTATAGGCTGTTCTGGGGCATAATTATTCTCTGTCCACAGACCTGTAAAACTTGAAAACAAATTGTTTACAAAATACAATGATAGGGGACATGTGGCTAGAGGGAAGGCCACATTTGGTGGAGAGTGGGAGGGGACTCAAGATCCTCATAGATTGACTACATTAAACCTTTGATGGTTTGTCAGTGATGTCTCACTTCTATTGACATTTTCATGTTTGGCTTTTCCAGCCTTTGAAACTAAACCATCTCATGTTTTATGAAAGGGACAGTCCACACACCTAAGTGGCTGTAACTGATACTGCTAAATGTATTGTAAAAATTGATATTTTAAGTATGCGTGATGCTTCTCTTAATTGTAAGGAATGTTCAGACAGAGGTACTGGGACAAGTGCCCAGCGAGGCTCTCCCAGCCCAGCCATGTAATATCAGTAAAGCAGTACAAGATGGGGGGATGGATTAACATCCTGATAAAGAGCTGGTAGAGATGGGGTACTTAACGATTTACGAGGCTCTACGGTGTGCTCTCCCACTTGGGTCAGTCAGTCCTAATAAGTCTCTTGAGCTGCAAATGTCAGTGACCGACCACTGTGCACACTAGAGCACCAGTCAGGCATCAGTCAAACTTCCCACCTTCATGCAGGTGGACATTTACCTCTGCAGATAAGGCTTTCTCAGAGGTTGGAGTCCGTGCCAGCACCTTATGCTTCTTGGGGGTGTTGGAACACTGAAGTCCCTGAGGAGGCCTGGACTTCGATGATGAACAGATTAGCTAAGTTAAAGGCTGGTAGTGCACTGAGCCACTATGGCTGTGTATCCCCAGAGAAAACTGTTACAAACCTTATATGCAAAATAAAATTCCACCAGTGGTCCAAGTTGTAGGCTGTAGTGCTTGCCCAGTAAAACACTCCCCCAAAACACATCTTGCTACATTTTCACTGACTCATGAACAATAGCTAACAGGATGGCAGGGTGCTTCAGTACCTAGCAGCAGGATCAAGTCCTAAGCCCCTGGGGGGTCACACATTGTGATAACAGATTGTATAGGATCCCTTACTCCTGTTGTCACCCATGTGGACTCCAGTGGAAAAGGTCCCTTTGACAATGAACATCACTGAAACCAACAGATGTTAGTTTAGGCTGATCAGACCTGAGCCATCCAGAGAAGACCATAGACCTCTGGATATACCATCACACAGGATGAGCGTCTATATTCCAGTACTGAGACCAAAATCAAAGCTTAGTGATTCAGCCTAGGGAAGCCTGACAAATGTGCCTAGAGTGCCCATTCCACATGAATGGTGTACGAGTTTCCTAGGGCTGCCTTAACAGAGCACCACAACTTGTGTGGCTTAAAACAACAGGCATGTATTCTCTCACAGGTCTGAAATTATACTGGAACCAAACTAGTGTTCATCTGCCCCATACAGAGCAAGCCAGTAAAGATTGACACTGAGCTTCGGCAGTGAAGAAAGATAAGCTATTTATTGGTATGGTGCATCCCAAGAGAATGGGAAGCTAATGCTCAAAGTCTCAAACTTACAGGTGACACCTTCTAAGGGCAAAATTTGGGGGAAGGGTTTCCTGAGAAGGTGGATGCTATTGATTGGAGGCCTAGGAAGTAATGTTAACAGATAATAGTTACTTCTGGCGCCACTTCATCTGGTCCCACAGAGGTCTGTTCTATCTCAAGATAGAGATGGAATCTGAAAAATATCTTTATATATGTTAGAGATTTCATTAGGTACATCTGGTGATTATGTGTTTAGGAGAGTGCTAATCAGCTGCTTGTATCTGCTTGTGTGTGCTAAGCTAGTGGGGTTGCTTTCCTTCATGTTCCTTTGAATGATACAAGCATTCCTATCTCTTGGTCCTGGATCTGTGTGTTCCCTGGCTGGTCCAGCTGCGCCTGGGAGCAATATGACCCCTAGTGTTCATTATTTCATCTGAACTAACAAGATGGATGCCCGCTTCAAAATCAAGGTGTCAACAGGGTTGTTTCCTATTAGAGGTTCTAAGAGGGAATCTGTTCCATGCTTCTCTCCTAACTCCTGATGGTTTTTGGCAGTCTTTGACACCCATTGGCTTGTAGCCATATCCCTCCAATCTGTCTCCACATTCACAAGGCATTCTCCCATGCCTCTGTTTCCTCTCTTTGCTCATAAGGACACCAGTCATCTGAGCCCACCCTAATCCAGTATGACTTCATTTTAACTTAACTAATGACATCTGCAAAGACCCTATTCAAAAATAGTCACAATCTGAGGCTCTTAATGGACATGAATTTGGAGGCAAGGAGATACTATTCTACTATTCTACTCAGGCCAAAATGAACCATTTTATATTGTAACCATATAGTTCACAGTTCCCTAGTGGTCCCTGACATGTTCTTTACAGCTTACTCTCTCATAATTCCTTCAACAACCTCGCATCACACTGCATCATTTTGCAATGCCCTGCGGGCCAGAAAGAACCAGGCCCAGCAAACCCCTGGGAGAAGCCCTGAGAGCACCTCTGCCCTCCGGGGGGGAAAACTCTTCAGACGAGGCGTGGTGCCAGGGCTTATGGGAAACGTAGTCCTACGTTTCCTCGTCTCACACGGCGCAGATTCAGGGAAAGGGTCTTCCATGTTCTCCGAGGCTTGTTGTGCGCATGTGTAACTTCGGTCTCCAGGTGTTTTCCGCGGGTTTCCCCGCCCCGCGGACGAAATCCTGGAGCGTTCCGGCGGGCTGGCGCTGCGCAAGTGGGGGCGGCCGGTGAGCCCAGGCCAGATGGGCGAGCGCCCGCGGGGGCGGCCGTGGGGAGGGGGCTAGGCGAAGGCGGGTGGGGGCGGCCTCGGGGAGGGACGGCCGGGCGGGGCGCTTCTGTCCCGTGGGGGCCGCGGGCGTCCAAGTGGGGCCGCGGCGTCGGCGGGGCTGCGGGAAGGGGGCGTGAGCTTTGGATCCAGGTGGAGCCGGGTGTAAGTTGGTTTACTGCTGGCAAGATGACGAAGATGGGTGAGAGTAGGTTTCTTCATGTGTAAAACACGATTATGTGCTACGTGGGGTTCTGAGGATTAAAATTTTTTACACATGTTTTTAAAATAGCATTTTCAGTTTTAACGTTCGGAGCAGAGCTTAGTTAATATTAGCTGTTAAGGTTTTTGGAAGATATTTTTCCCTTTCGTTGGCTAAATTTTATTTAATCCTAATAACGGCCTTTAATGTAACTGTTTTCTGTCTTGGCAGACAAGAAAACTGAGGCTCAGAGGGCTCAAGTGAAATACTCAAGGTCTCACAGTTTGGTAGACAACCCTGTTGAAAACCATCGTATTTCTCACAGCACCTTCTTTAGGGCCCAAGGAAACAACCCCAAAGTGTGTGAGCACTGAATCTCACCTTGTGGTCATGTATTTTGGGATTTCTTGGCATGTCAGAACCCTTGGATCAGACTGCATAATTTACTGCACTGTCCAACTTTCAGCATCCTCAGTGGCCTTAGAGTTTAGGCGGATAAGTTCTGTGAGATTTTGATCCCTGAATCAAACTTCTAAATAAATGATTTTGTCTTTTAAGCCTAGGTTCCCCCTCCCTTGGAAGAAAGCAGCTTTTATGAAGTAAGAAGGAGGAAGCCCCAGGAACAGGAATCTCACCTTGAAGGTCACTCCTCGGACCTCAGACTTCTCAGCCACAGCTTTTGAGCAGAGGCAGGATACTCCTAGAAAGGAGCAGGTCCTGGGTTTGCATAGTCCGCAGTAGCAGTTCTTTATTCTGCTCAGAATGAGCATTGCCCCGCTATCACCGCATCCAGAGGGCCTCACCATGATGAAAGGTCTGGACCAAGCTTCAGGAAAGATAGGTGAGTAGACACTGGGTGGTAGGTGAGGGGCAGGTTGTGTGGAAAATATTAATTCATTAAAGGGTTCATGTCTGCATGGTCTGCAGGGAGAGATCCCTAGGCACAACTGAAGAAATTCTATCTCCAGCCTTTAATAAACATGCCCTGCCTTCAGCCTCCACCCACTTTTTCTAGATTTTGAGCTGCTCTTCTATGTCCCTCTAGGGGTATGCTGCCAGTCCATCTACCCTGATTTTATAGAGGCATAGAATAGGGTCATCTGTGTCTGCTTAATTTCAGAGCTGAGAAACCTTGACTCTGGGTGTATAAGTAGCCTGCCCAGAGTCACCGAGTTTGTTAGAGGCAGTGCCAGGACCAGAAAACTGTCCACGAGGTAAGTCATCCACCAGGTTCTATCGCAGCTTAGTTAGAAACAGTTTTTAAAGTAGGCCCGTCCACGAAGCAACCTCATCTTTTTCTGCAGAGTGATTTCTCTAACTCTTAAGGGTAAGCAACTCAGTAGGAATGTAAGTAAACAAATATCTTGAGTATTTTTCCTACAACATTGATAGTGAAAAATAAAGATTTGTCTTTTGATATCTTTGTTAAATTAGTACTGGATTGGTTCTAAAAGAAAAATGAAAATTTTAAATCATTAGGAAATAAACCCAGTGAAAAATTGCTCAACCAGGCTCTTCAGTTCTGTCAGAGTCACACATGTGAATTCTCCCTGCACATGGTTCTTGCTGACTCTCGGGGGCGAAAGAACTTTTCCTACAGGGTAACATTTAACCGTCTGGTGGGCATGGGGTTTTAGGAGATGAATCTCAAAAGTCTATAGCAGCCAAATCTCACATGACCTACTGTTTTCTTCTCCCATAGCTGTACATTCAACCTTCTCTGTACTTTCCCAAAAGGAACAGAAAAAGAACAAATCCCAGGTGAGCTGTTTTTCATTTCTCACATTGTTTTCCATTGCATAAAACAATGAAGATAAAAATGATAAAAGCTGTCAAGGAATACATAGAGTTAACAGATCGAAAACAAGGAAAGGTCAGCATGTTAATTATGTGGAGATAATTATAATTGTTCTTCCGTTAGTATATATATTACACGTTATATTGTGTAGCAGTAATTTTTATAATAATAATTATTGCAAATTTATCTTTGATACTCTGTCCAAAAGGAAAATGCTTTGCCTTGACCATAAAAATAAAAGTAATTCTTCATGGAACACAAAGATTTCCTGGCCTGAAGTCTGAAAAAATTCTGTCTTCCTGAAAGTAAGGGAGTTGACAATCTCAATTAACAAGTCTGAGATGAATGCTGCCCATCATCTTCACCTCTGATTGTTCTTTAGTGGGTGCAGAGAGCAGAAGGCCAAAGCATAACTTAGTTGATTCAAGTTGATTTTTTTTTAAGATGTATTTATTTATTTGAGAAGGGAGGGGCAGAGGAGAGAATCTCAAGCAGACTCCCACTGAGCATGAAGCCCCACGTGGAGCTCTATCTCACGACCCTGAGGTCATGACCTGAGCCAAAACGAAGAGTCGGACACTTAACTGACTGAGCCACCCAGGTGCCCCTCAGGTTGATGATTTCTTTTGTCTGCTTTACAGTATTGTCCTTTTCCTGTTGCCTTTTAGCAAAGCTTATCCTCATGTGATTATCTTTGGTCTGTTGTAATTCTTACCTTATTATTTCTTGACTGATTTCATATTCTGTGGATTTTTAACTATTTCAAAGGATGCACAACCACTCAATTTGAAATTCAAACGCTGAATGTTGTGCTTGTTTAAGTGAGAGCTATTGCTGGTCAGATATATTTTTACTGAGCAAAGCAAATTGTTGATTTTCTGTATGGTTTTTGCAAAGAGTTGGTATACTCGTTTCCTGTGGATACTATAACAAGTTACCCCAAATTTAGTAGCTTAAAACAACAGAAATTTATTCTTTCAGTTCTGGAGACTAGAAGTCTGAAATCAAGGTGTTGTCAGGGATGTGCTCCTGCTTAAGCTTCTAGAGGAGATTCCATCCCCCATCTCTTCCATCTTCTGGTGGCTTTTGGGAGAGAGGCAGGAGATAGAATGGAGAAAAAAACAAAGATGAAGAAAAATAAATATTTTGTAAGCCCTTGTATCAGTGTTCCCCAGAGAAACAGAACCAATAGGATGTGTGTGTGTGTGTGTGTGTGTGTGTGTACAGATAGCATGTAATATAGACACATGTAAATACACATATGTATACATTCGTTTTATGGAATTGGTGCATGTGATTGTGGGGCCTGGCAAATCCAACCAGCACACTGGAAACTCAGGACATAATGCTGCAGTCTTGAGGCAGAATTCCTTCTTTTGGGGGAAACATTAGTTTTTGCTCATAAAGGCCTTTAACTGTTTGGATGAGGCCCACCCACATTATTGAGGGTAATCTACTTAAAGTCAACCCGTTGTAGATATTAACCACATCTATAAAATACTTTCACAGCAACACTTAGATAAGTGTTTTATGAAATAACTGGATACTGTAGCCTATGAAGTTGACACATAAAACTAACCATTACAAGTCCTATAAGAAGATAACAGTGATCTATTGTGTTGTATGTATGTGTTGTATGTATACATATATATGTGTTAATATATATGGGGTGTATGTATGAGTAAATGCATATATACATATATAAATAAATATGTACATTTTTATGATCATGTGACTAGTAAACAGTACTTGGCTGGATTGTTTTTATGCATGACATGAGATTTCCTTTTATATTGGGTATTTAACTCATTAACATTTATTGTGCTCACTGATGATGTTTAGTTTTAGTTCCTCCATCTTTATTTGTATTTTTATTTATCCCATCTTCTTTCCTTTCTTTAATTTTTCTCTGTCGATTATATTTCTCCCTTCCAGTGGTTTGAAAATTCAGTATTTTTTTCCATTGGTTCTCCTGGAAACAGTTAACGTAGGTTTATATTTGTATTTTTCCCATCAACATCAAGAATTTTTATTTTCTAGACCTGACCTGATCTTTTGCATGTTTTACTGTCCGTTCCTCCCACATCTCATGTTTTATAGAAGTGATCAGAATCGTTAAAATTTTAATTTTTTTAATTATTTTTTTAAAGATTTTTATTTACTTGAGAGGGAGTGAGAACGAGAGAGATCACAGAGGGAGAGGGAGAAGCAGACTTGCTGCTGAGCAGGGAGCCCGATGTAGGGCTCCATCCCAGGATCCTGGGAACGTGACCTGAGCTGAAGGCGGACACTTAACCAGCTGAGCCACCCAGGCGCCCCAGAATTGTTTTTTAATATAAATTTTTTAAAATCCTTTATTAACAGGTGCAGTATTTAGACATGACTAAGTTATCTGGTTATTCTCTGTAATTTCCAAGGTAGTTGGATTAAAATGTCTATAGATAAGAGGAGGTCAGTGAGCTAGCACCTTGATCTTGGACTTCCAGCCTCCAGAACTGTGGGAAAATAAATTTCTTTTGTTTAAGCCATCCGGTGTGTGGTAGTTTGTTATGGGAGCCTTAGCAAACTAATAACATATGGTAATTATATTTTTAATTCTTTGAGGACACACCATACTGTTTTCCATAGTGGCTGTACCATTTTACGTTCCCACCAACATGCACAAGAGTTCCAGTTTTTCCACAGCTTCACCAACACTTTTATTTTGTTTGCTAATGGGTGTGAGGTGAAGTGACGTTCTTTTGAGTACTGTTAATCTCCAGTGTCTTTAAAAACAGTCGTTTCCTATTTTTGGAATCATAATAATTACATAGTTTTGTTTTCTTCTTACTCACTTTTTCACTTCATCTGGTGCATGTCTTTTGTGTTACCTGTTCTTAAATTTCTAGTGAACCTTCATTGTCCATCTATATTTATATGTGAAGATTTGGTTTGATTCATGTAGGTAGCTATTGTGAGTTTATTCAGAAATACAGAATGCTGTTCCTTTATCTGTTTTCTCTCCTCAGGGAAAGAACTGACTTCAAGGATTTATAAAGGGAATTGTTGGAAAGATATAACCTGGTGAATTTCCTTTCAGGTTATCAGCAGGGAGTATATAGGCAACTTCAAGAGACTATTGATTTTTGAAGTGGACATTTCCCATACTGTGGATTTAGACCATCATGATCTATCTCATCAAAGACCTGCCTTAAAACAAAACCAGTATCCATTTTCTTTCTGGCTGACTTGGCCATTGCTAGAGCCCCTGAAGCATTTACCTAAAACATTTTTTTTAATCTGATTTATCCTTAAACTATCAGCTGTGTTTATACAGAGTGACAAATGCCAGAGTGGTCTGACACTCCTTCAGTTTATTCCTCAGCTAATCAATCAGCACACTATCCACTTTGAGCTTAGATGATGGCCATATATACTACATACTGAATGTATGCAGACACATACGTGCCACCCATAGGCAGTTCTCACTTTGCACTGTCGTGTGGGGCTATAAAAATGGGCACATACACTGAAACCATGCAAAGCAATCTTAATCATGGGGGAAAGTGGTAGTTGTTCTGTGATCTTTAAATATCTTTAAAAATATTTGTCAAAACATTAAAAATGTGTATAAAAATGAAAAAATACTATAATATTTAGTACTAAGTACCTCTTCATTAAGATCCTTTGGGTGTAGATCTAGAGTGTCTCAAATGGAGGCAGTATTAACATTCCTACAGTCAGGTATTTCTTCTAAAACCCCATTTATATTTGATTTGAACTTCACTTCTAATGTAATCACTTCTCATTTCTTTGCTGCTCTTTCATCTTTGTTGGCCAGTTCCCTTTTGCAAACCATTCAACTATTTTTGCAAAATGCCGTATTGCCAGGAGACAAGGAGGGAACATGTGTTTTGTTGTTTGTGTGTGGACTAAGTAACAGATGTGCAGTGATCAGTCACTGGTGGACTTTGAAAAAAAAATGACATGGTTGATAATTATTCATGGTGTTTGTTATTTATGTAGTGATTTGTGGATTGAAGAGCAAGCAGCAAAGTTTGTACTTTATGTGATTACTCAGAGTTACCATAGTAACTGAAATCTGACAGTGTTGTTGGGGGACTGTTGTTACTTAACTAAATAAATTGTGGTAACTGAAATTTGTGCATGTCAGGACCATACAAAGTATGGACTACCTGTAGAGACAGACATTCAGACATATATATATATTGCCACAGATTTGTGCCAATTTGATGCTTGAAAGTTTTCCTCTCTTAAAAGGGTGAGTCATCAAATACTTTGGAGAACTCTTGTCTAAATGAACAATGCCAAAATAACCAGATTAGGGCATTTTATATCTTTAAAGCTCCAAATTCAGTTCTCTCTTGATCTTATGCTATTATTTAATCCAGTTTGCATCCATACTAGATTGTAAGCTTCCTGAAAGTAGAAACAGTGTTTTATGTCTTCTAATATCCACAGAAACTAGGACACTTTCATGTATATAACGTATTTTATGCTTGTGTGTATTTGTGTGTGTTGTTTTTTTTTAAGATTTTATTTATTTGTCAGAGAAAGAGAGAGTGCACAAACAGGGGGAGCGACAGGCAGAGGGAGAAGCAGGCTCCCCACCGAGCAAGGAGCCCTCTGTGGGACTTGATCCTAGGACCCTGGGATCATGACCTGAGCCGAAGGCAGACGCTTAACCGACTGAGCCACCCAGGCATCCCTGTATGTGGTTTTTATTATTATTATTATTATTATTATTATCATCATTATCTATTATTATTATTATTTTATATTTCTCTTTTTCCCTCCACATATAAAACCAAACAGGGACTATGCTAAGTCTCCTATATAAACTTTTTCTAATAAACTCAATAGTAAACATAGTGAAGGATTGCTTCCTAGATATATTTACTCTGTCATATAGTTTTGAGCACTTCTGATTGATCAGATATGTGTGTTACAGGGATCAATTTCATTTGAGGATGTGACTGTGAACTTTACCCAGGAGGAGTGGGGTCAACTGGACCCTGATCAGAGGACCTTGTACAGGGATGTGATGTTGGAGAACTATAGCATCTTCATCTCACTGGGTAAGCAAAACTTTCCTGAGTAACATCAGCATGTCCTTTTGTTGTTATCAAAGCATGTGGATTTTTTTTTTTTTT